ACTGCTTCTTGGACCTCCAACTTACAGGCCCACCTCCCACCATGCAGATGTATCCACCAACTGATGATGAATCCTCATGCTCAGAAGCCCACGTGGCATCAGCAAAACAGGAAAGGAACACCTTTCCTTCTCCGAGCTGCTCCCCCTTCTCTTTGAGGACTTCAATTCTTTTTTGACTGAGTTGAGCAGAGGCTGAATACTGTACTCCCACTGTAGGGTATGACTTGAGGTAGCGCACCACTCTCTTCGCTGCACCACACTGCTCTTCTGTTGGATTTTGCACTACTCGAGCCAGCTGTCCCACAGCAAAGCTGATGTCAGGCCGAGTATGCACAGCAGCGTAGAGTAGGTTCCCGACCATGGATTGGAATTGCCTCTGGTCTTCACTCTCAACTCCTTCTCCTTCAGCTGCCTTTATGAGTTTGAACTCGGAAGGCAAAGGTGTGACCACTTCCCGTTCTTCCTGCAGAGAGTACTTCTCAGCCAAGGTGTTGATGTACTGTCCCTGATGCAGTTTGAGCCAGCCACGTTCAGTATCCCGCTCAATATGCATTCCCAGGTAGTACCTTGCCTCTCTAAGTGACTTGCACTTGAACTGCTCTGTGAGCTTCCGCTGCACCCCATCGATCTCCTTGTCACTGCTGCTGAAGAGCAGGATGTCATCCACGTACACCAGCAGAAGCACAAGCGACTCCCCCTCGCTCATCAGGAATAGGCTCTCGTCGCATGCACTCGCACGGAATCCAATCCCTTCCAGTGCACTGGCCAGCCTGTTGTACCAGCATCTCGGGGCCTGCTTCAAGCCATAGATGGCCTTGTTAAGTTTGCAGACACGACCGGTTCCATCCTCATAGCCAGGTGGTTGAACCATGTATACCTCCTCTTCCACAATGCCATACAGAAAAGCGGTTACGATGTCCATCTGCTTCACCTTCCATTTGCGCACAGCAGCTACCGCCAGCAGCACACGTAGCGTTGGAGACTTAGCAGTTGGGGCAAACACTTCTTTGTAATCTTCCTTCGCTTTCTGCTGAAACCCCTTTGCCACCAGCCTGCTCTTGTAAACTGATGGCTCTCCTTTCTCATCCGTCTTGATTTTTGCCAGCCACTTGCACTGTATTGCCTTCTTCCCATTTGGCAAGTACACCAGGTCCCATGTGTGATTCTCCATCTTGCTGTTGTACTCTGCATCTCTTGAAACGAGCCACTTCCCCCGTTGAGGCCCGGCTAGCGCATGATCCATGCTCGGAGGTTGTATTGGTGCGTAAAAGCAGTATGCAGGCTCCTTGTCATCTGACTCTTGGTCATCACCCAAGAACAGCACTGCATCTTCGCCTTGAGCCTGTTCCTGCTGCTCAGTTGTGGCTCCTCCACTTGTGGAGCTCAACAGCTTTCTCATTGCCATTCTGGTACGTGCAGGGTAGATGGTTGGATTTACCCATTCTTTCACCTTCACCCAATCCTTTGTCCCCCCACCAATCTGTTTCCTTCGCTTTGACAGACTTGGTGTTTTGGAAGCCTCTTGCTGCTGCTGCTCCGGATCCTTGACTTCAGCATCAGCTGCAATATCCTCATTGCTTCCTTCATCAGTACCGCTTGCCGTTGGCGCAGTGACTTCGCTGTCCTCAGGTTCGGACAGATCGAAGTGCATAGTGATCTCTTCCAGCTGCTGGGTGACCCTTGCCTCCGGCTGCTTCTCCCACTTGCCATACATGATGTTCTCCACAAATTTGACATCCCGACTATCAAACAGCACATTCTTTGAGGGCTCCCAGAGTAGCCACCCCTTGCTCTCTGCCGCAAGCCCAAGGTGCACACACCAAAGTGCAGATGCTCCAAGCTTTGTCCTGTACGGTTTAGGGACATGCGCCACTGCCATGCATCCGAACACTCGAAGCATGTCCACTGGAGGCTTCTTTCCAAGCCACCTCTCCAGCGGCACCCACATATCATCAGCCACCTTTGTGAGTACGCGGTTCCTTGCCACTGTAGCATGCCTCACCGCATGAGGCCACATGGAGTTCCCCAGCCCTGATTCGATCAGCAGCGCTCGCGCAGTTTCCAGGATGGTCCTATTAGCCCTCTCAGCAACGCCATTTGACTGAGGGGTATAGGACGTCGTTAGCTGATGCTCAATGCCTTGTTTCTTGAGCCACGCAGTCAGATCTCCTCCTAGAAACTCTCCACCTCGGTCGGTTCTGATGCTCTTGCATGGGTGCCCAGATTGTCGCTCGACGAACGGCAGCCAATCATCTCGTATTGTTGAGGCAGCATGATCCTTCTGCTTCAACGGGTATGCCCACATCAGCCGACTCCAGTCATCAACTATTGTCAGGAAGTACCTTTCCCCCTTACTTCCTCGGACTGGAAAAGGTCCTACGAGGTCCATGTGCACCAGTTCCAGTGCTGCCTTGCTTTTCCCAGCTACGCCGTGAAAGGGGAACCGTGTGAACTTGCTCAGCAGACACGTCTCGCACTTGGTAGCATTTGGTTGCCCAGAAAGCTTGAGCCCCTTTACTGCTTCTTCCTTATGCAGTTGCTGCAGCAATGGCATAGCCACATGCCCTAGACGCCTGTGTGCGGTTTCCCAATCAGTCTCCCCCGACCTTGCAGAAACCGTCACTCCTGCAGCACTAACTGCATTACACTCCCCCTGGACTCCAGAACCCGCCTTTACTTCTCCCAACTCCTTCTTTGTTGATTCCCATATCAGTGCAGGGATCTGCCACATGGATCTGAAGACATCTCTGCTTTCGTGTAAATCCCATAACACACGATCTCCTCGCAGCCCCTTGAATGTTTTGGATCCATTGGTGGTGGTGCTGACTCCGGCCTGGCCTAGCTTGCGCAGCGATATCAGGTTGGCCTTCAGCCCCGGTACGAGTAACACATCCTTCAGCACAACCAGTCCACCATCAGGTGCTCTGAATGCAGCTCGACCAACTCCAGCGACCTTCACTGCATGTCCGGATGCTGAGCGCACTTCAGAGATTGGAGGCGCTCGCACAGCATCCAGCAAGTCCTTGCGTGGTGTCATTGTCCATGCAGCACCAGAGTCCATGACCCACATGTCAAGCGGGTGCAATTCCTCTCCAGCCCTTGCAACAGCTGTGCCACTGTCATCTTTGTCACACACATGGTAGAACTGTCCAGCATTCCTCTCCTCATTTCGCATTCCTCTGTCATCCTTGGAGGTTTCTTCAGCAGGATCAGCTACCATGTTGGCACCTCCATGTGGTTGTTTTCCTCCATTCCCCTTCTCCGATTGGTTCCAAGGGGTCCACCAGTCGGGCTTGGTAGGGCAGCGAAACCATGGATGCCCTTCTTCCTTGCAATACCAGCACTCTCCCCTCAAGCGTGGTTCACTGTTGTCATTGTTGGAGTGACCACCTCTTCCTCTTGCACCAGCGCCACCACGCCCCCGCTGGTTCCAAGTCCCGCGACCACCTTGGCTGTGGTAAGAGCGACCGCGATTGCCACGCCCTCGATCCCTCCATGTCCCTTGCATGGCATAGCCGCTGGTGCTGTCATCACCTCCGCGCAGTGTATAGCGACGAAAATCTTCTTCCAGAATCTTGGTGCGAATCCACTCCAATGTCCATTGACTTTGGTTTTGTGGCAAGCTGAGTCCGCTTATAAATTGCAGCCAAGACTCCGGCAGCAGGCTGAGCATCTTGAGACACTTTGTCTGCTCTGGGTACGTGATGCCTGCAATCGCCAATTTCGCGTAGAGTTCCCTCATCTTGTCCAGTACGGGCTGCACAGCTTCATTCTCGCTCAACCGCAGCATGGACAGCTCCCGATCCAGCATGAGAGAAGCGGCAACCGATGTCGGAGCGTGCAGGTCCTTGAGCACTGCCCATGCCTTGGGCCCACAATCAATTTCCGGTAGCAGATGCATGATGTGATGCCTCTGGTTCAGCTCCAAGCTTTGTGACAGTAGATAGTACCCAGCAGATGAACGTTCATCCCAGTCCGCTTGCTCTGCCATTTCCTTTGGCCTTGGCTCCGTTCCAATCATGAGCTTCAAGAGGCCAATTTGTCGAAAGTAGAGCTGCATCTTCCATGCCCAATCATCATAGCCATCTCCAGAGAACTTCTCAATGGTGAAGTTCTTCAGCACCTCCTTAAGCAGTGACCCCTGGCTTGTACGCGCTCCCCTTTGCGCTGCAATGCCAGAATCTTGGGTTGAGCTGCCTCCTTGGACTGAAGTATCACCTCCACCAGAGTCCTCTTTATCTCCCATCGTATTTTAGGTCCCAAATGCGTGATAATAGGCTCTGATACCACTTGTTGGTTAGAGAAGGCTATAAGCAGATGATTCAATGGCTCCTTGGAAATTTCTGCAGCACTTCGTTATGACGCCCAGAAAACTCGCGACCTTCGAATAGCTATATCAAAAACTCCAATCGGTGAAACGATCTGAAAATCGGATATGTTGTAGCTGGCAGTGTCAGCTTTCCACTGAAAGTTGAATCACTCGATTCCGTAGCTAAACGAGTGAGCTATGGCGTTTGGCGCACTGGGGGGTAATCTGCCCTAGGAGAAGTTGACAGTCCTCAGAGTCACTATGATTGAAGCTTACAAGTTCAGAGACATGATGGAAAAGGCATTGAAGCATAGTTGGAAGGTGGGGTAGGAAGTGAAGGATGAAAGGGAAGGACCCTGGAGGCCCATGGTCAAGAACATGACAAGAGTCAAAGTTTTGACTCCCCATCCTCAGGTTCAGCCAGCCTGGCAAGACAAATTTCACACTGTGCCAGGTTGGCCTCCAAACCCCAAATGCTGCAGCTGCAAGGTGGGGACAAAAGTCCCACACATGCTGGTCCCTCCTCGTTATAGGGCTCTCCAGCTTTGGTGTAGCAGCTGACAAGGACTTCCAATGAGTTGTAACAAATCCATCAAACATTTCTTCGTAACTTCTTCATATGTGCTCCGATTCCAACAATTCTTGGCTCGTTGGAATGTGCTCGATGTCATGCACAATCCAAGCACATCTGCACAAGCACAAGATGAACATGCAAAGACATGCAAACCCAACAAACCATACAAACAACGTAGCACACAAAACACATGCAACGAAATGATGCGAACAGACGACAGGATGACGTGCAAACGAATATGCACCAACACATGTCCGGATGCTGAGCGCACTTCAGAGATTGGAGGCGCTCGCACAGCATCCAGCAAGTCCTTGCGTGGTGTCATTGTCCATGCAGCACCAGAGTCCATGACCCACATGTCAAGCGGGTGCAATTCCTCTCCAGCCCTTGCAACAGCTGTGCCACTGTCATCTTTGTCACACACATGGTAGAACTGTCCAGCATTCCTCTCCTCATTTCCCATTCCTCTGTCATCCTTGGAGGTTTCTTCAGCAGGATCAGCTACCATGTTGGCACCTCCATGTGGTTGCTTTCCTCCATTCCCCTTCTGCGATTGGTTCCAAGGGGTCCACCAGTCGGGCTTGGTAGGGCAGCGAAACCATGGATGCCCTTCTTCCTTGCAATACCAGCACTCTCCCCTCAAGCGTGGTTCACTGTTGTCATTGTTGGAGTGACCACCTCTTCCTCTTGCACCAGCGCCACCACGCCCCCGCTGGTTCCAAGTCCCGCGACCACCTTGGCTGTGGTAAGAGCGACCGCGATTGCCACGCCCTCGATCCCTCCATGTCCCTTGCATGGCATAGCCGCTGGTGCTGTCATCACCTCCGCGCAGTGTATAGCGACGAAAATCTTCTTCCAGAATCTTGGTGCGAATCCACTCCAATGTCCATTGACTTTGGTTTTGTGGCAAGCTGAGTCCGCTTATAAATTGCAGCCAAGACTCCGGCAGCAGGCTGAGCATCTTGAGACACTTTGTCTGCTCTGGGTACGTGATGCCTGCAATCGCCAATTTCGCGTAGAGTTCCCTCATCTTGTCCAGTACGGGCTGCACAGGTTCATTCTCGCTCAACCGCAGCATGGACAGCTCCCGATCCAGCATGAGAGAAGCGGCAACCGATGTTGGAGCGTGCAGGTCCTTGAGCACTGCCCATGCCTTGGGCCCACAATCAATTTCCGGTAGCAGATGCATGATGTGATGCCTCTGGTTCAGCTCCAAGCTTTGTGACAGTAGATAATACCCAGCAGATGAACGTTCATCCCAGTCCGCTTGCTCTGCCATTTCCTTTGGCCTTGGCTCCATTCCAATCATGAGCTTCAAGAGGCCAATTTGTCGAAAGTAGAGCTGCATCTTCCATGCCCAATCATCATAGCCATCTCCAGAGAACTTCTCAATGGTGAAGTTCTTCAGCACCTCCTTAAGCAGTGACCCCTGGCTTGTACGCGCTCCCCTTTGCGCTGCAATGCCAGAATCTTGGGTTGAGCTGCCTCCTTGGACTGAAGTATCACCTCCACCAGAGTCCTCCTTATCTCCCATCGTATTTTAGGTCCCAAATGCGTGATAATAGGCTCTGATACCACTTGTTGGTCAGAGAAGGCTATAAGCAGATGATTCAATGGCTCCTTGGAAATTTCTGCAGCACTTCGTTATGACGCCCAGAAAACTTGCGACCTTCGAATAGCTATATCCAAAACTCCAATCGGTGAAACGATCTGAAAATCGGATATGTTGTCGCTGGCAGCGTCAGCTTTCCACTGAAAGTTGAATCACTTGATTCCGTAGCTTAACGAGCGAGCTATGGCGTTTGGCGCACTGGGGGGTAATCTGCCCTAGGAGAAGTTGACAGTCCTCAGAGTCACTATGATTGAAGCTTACAAGATCAGAGGCATGATAGAAAAGGCATTGAAGCACAGTTGGAAGGTGGGGTAGGAAGGGAAGGATGAAAGGGAAGGACCCTGGAGGCCCATGGTCAAGAACATGACAAGAGTCAAAGTTTTGACTCCCCATCCTCAGGTTCAGCCAGCCTGGCAAGACAAAATTCACACTGTGCCAGGTTGGCCTCCAAACCCCAAATGCTGCAGCTGCAAGGTGGGGACAAAAGTCCCACACATGCTGGTCCCTCCTCGTTATAGGGCTCTCCAACTTTGGTGTAGCAGCTGACAAGGACTTCCAATGAGTTGTAACAAATCCATCAAACATTTCTTCGTAACTTCTTCATATGTGCTCCGATTCCAACAATTCTTGGCTCGTTGGAATGTGCTCGATGTCATGCACAATCCAAGCACATCTGCACAAGCACAAGATGAACATGCAAAGACATGCAAACCCAACAAACCATAAAAACATCGTAGCACACAAAACACATGCAAACGAAATGATGCGAACAGACGACAGGATGACGTGCAAATGAATATGCACCAACATCCAGCAACTCTGCCACCCCGTTCCTCAGGTCTATGCATGGTCGAAATGGCTTCAAGGGGCTCTGATACCACTTGTTCTAACCACAATACGCTCAGATGTGCCTAAAATGATGAAATTGTGCACAGTCAGAATTCCGTCAGACAGCTTCAAATATTGATGCCGATGGCGGCACTTAGAATTGACGAATGGTCAACGAGCACATAGCCCCATGGAACGGAGAAGGCGATGGTGGTCAGCCTTGCCGAGAGCCTTGGTAAAGAGGTCGGCGAGGTTGCAATCTGAGGCGATGTACCGTACCGTCAGCTGGTCACTCTGAACAAGATCTCGGATGAAGAAATGACGAAGTTCGATGTGCTTGGTGCGAGAGTGGAACACAGGATCCTTGGTGAAGTGAATGGTGCTCTGATTGTCACACCACAGGGTGGGCGACTGCTGGGGGTAGCCTAACTCAGCGAGGAGAAAGGAGAGCCAGCGTGCCTCTTGAGCAGCCATTGTGCCCGCGTAGAGCTCGGCCTCGCAGGACGACAGGGAGACTGCAGAGGACCGAGTGGAGCGCCAGCTGATGACTCCGCTACCAAAGGTGAAGCAGTACCCTTGGGAGGAGCGTCTGTCAGTCTGGTCATCGGCCCATGAGGAGTCTGTGTATCCCTCGAGCTTGACTGGAGAGGTACCACCAAGAGTGAGGATGTGAGACTTGGTGGCTTGTAGATAGCGGAGGCCCTCGTGCCGGCCAGGTGTGTGGCGGCACCAACCACGCCCTTGCCTCCTGCTTCAAGAAAAAGGATGACAATTGGTATGCCGTCGATGGGACCGCCTCGAAGCCGTCAAGCTGGATGGTCAATCATGCTCCTCGCAAGATCAATCAAGTCAAAGCACAGGAATCCGTGCAGGCTGCTGTAGCTCCCACTGCTGATGTGCGCCTCCACATGTTGTTCCCTGGCACTCCCATGATTAATGAGACGATTTCGCAGTATCCTGGCTCACAAAGCACCTCAGCCACAATAGAGTTCACCCTCGACAGTGGGGCCACTCACACGGTTCTCAAGGAAGAACACTCCTTCAAGCCATACGAGACTCCAATCCGTCTACTTGGAGCAGACTCCAGTTTCACAACACACGCCAAGGGCTCCTCCACAGCTCCGTGCCCAGCTTTTCCTTCCGGCAGTGTGACCGGCATGTGTGTTCCCACACTACGCCACAATCTCGTGGCCCAACACGAGCTCCAACGGGCAGGCGTCACCACGATCTTCCCAGCACACTCGGATCACTGTGACCTCCTCGACCCTAAGTCCAACAAGCTCCTAGCACGCTTCACACTCAACAGCAGCAGGCTCTGCACGCTGCGTTCACCTGCACCTCTCGCCGCCCTCTCCCAAGCGCAAGCTGCCAGCACCACTCTGTGTTCGTGTCGCAGCTTCGCCAACCCAACCATCCTCTACCACCATCGCTTGGGTCACCCCAACTTCCGTACGCTTGCCGACATCGCTTCCAAGAAACTTCTTCTTGGCCTCCCGTCGGCGCTTCCTCCACCAACAGACTCACCTGCACCCACCCGCCTCGACTGCACCAAGAGCAAGCTCAGGCAGCAGCCGCATCCTTCCTCCCCATCCGTCGCAGCTGCTCCGCTGGACCTAGTGCACATGGATGTCTGGGGCCCAGCTCCAGTCGCATCCCGAGGCGGTCATCGGTACTTTCTTACACTAGTCGATGACCACTCGCGGTATGTTTCTGTGCACCTCCTGCATACCAAGGCGGAGGCACCTGATGTCATCATGGCGTGGGTGCGCCAGGCTCAAGTCACTTTCAGTACTCCCCTGAAGTGCCTCCATTCTGATGGAGGGGGAGAATTTCGCAATGGCAAACTCGATACCTTCTGTGCGGCCCAAGGGATTCGGCAAACCTTCACGCTCCCCGAAAGCCCGCAGCAGAATGGCATTGCAGAGAGCCGCAACCACACCTTGGTTCAGATCGCTCGCTGCCTCCTCAGTCACGCCAACGCACCACGGTCACTCTGGGGATATGCCCTCTTCCATGCGGCACTCCTCTACAATCTTTATCCGCATCCCCACCGGCCCGACACCACACCTACCGCTCTCTGGCTTGGGGTCACGCCTTCCGCCCGCTGTCTACGCGTCTGGGGGTGTACCGCGTATGTGTTGCTAAGCCCCCACACGCGCAGGAAGCAAGGTGGCAAGCTTGGTCCCAAAACCCAGACCTGCATGTACCTGGGGCACAACTCCGACTCCCCAGACTACTTGTTCCTCAACCCAATCATCAGACAGCTGATTCGCAGCCGTGATGTCGTCTTCGATGAGACACGCCCATTCCACTCTGCGACGACGGGCGAGCCTCCTCCACCTCCCCCGACGCTTGTTTGGGCAGACTTCGATGCCCCACCTCCGGCCGCTGCCCCTTCTCCGGGGCCTTCTCCGTCCGGCGTGTCTCACCCGGCCTCCCCAGTATCCTCCGCAGCGGCACCTCCTCCTGCTCCGCCTTCCCCGCGCGTCGAGCCCGGCTCACCAGTCTCCTATCAGAGGCGCCCAGTCCCTCCGGTCCCACCGCAGCCGCCTTCGTCTCCGGTCTCTAGTCGCACTCGTTCCAAGGGACCGGCTCCGCCTCTCGCCTGGGGACCAGCCGCCTTCTCCATCCGGTGTTCGGTCACCCCGCCTCCTCTTGCTGGGGGTGATGTCTCCTCCATTCGTATTCTCCCCCGTCCACTTCTGGAGGACAGGCATGAGGAGCTGTTTGACCTTCACGCGGTCTGCCAATTTCTCTCTCACATCTTCCCGGACATTACTGACTGCCCTTCCCTCAACTTCACCGAGAACCCGACCATTCCGACTCCTCGCACAAAAGAGGAAGCTCTCTGGGGGCCTTATAAGAAGGAGTGGAAGGCAGCAATGGATGTGGAGAACGAGACGTTCATTCGCAACAACAGCTTTGACGATGTTGTTCCCCCTTCCGGTGTCAACATCGTCGGCGGAAATTGGATCTTCCGAGTCAAACAACTCCCAGGCGAAGCTCCACTGTTCAAGGCACGATACGTGGCGAAGGGTTTCACCCAGAAGGAGTATCTCGACTTCTTTCACCCAGTCTGCTCTCAGTTCCGCCCTTCTCATGAAGGATCTTGGTGACCTCAAAAACTACCTGGGGATGGAGATCACTCATGACCGCCAGGCTTGCACGATCACCCTCTCTCAGGAGTCCTACATCGACAACCTTCTCAAGCGGTTCGACATGGACTCCAGTAACTCTGTCTCCACTCCACTCCCACTACAGCATCAAGCTCACAGCCCCTCCAGTTCCTTCTCCTGACACCTGCAAGGACCCGTACCCTGAGCTAGTCGGTTCAATCATGTATGCCATGATGTGCACTCGACCAGACTTGGCTTACCCGGTTATAGTGTCCTCTCTCGGTACGTCTCCCCCGGACGCTACACTGCCTCGCATTGGTCTGCAGCCAAGAGGGTCCTCCGCTATCTACAAGCCACCAAGTCTCACATCCTCACTCTTGGTGGTACCTCTCCAGTCAAGCTCGAGGGATACACAGACTCCTCATGGGCCGATGACCAGACTGACAGACGCTCCTCCCAAGGGTACTGCTTCACCCTTGGTAGCGGAGTCATCAGCTGGCGCTCCACTCGGTCCTCTGCAGTCTCCCTGTCATCCTGCGAGGCCGAGCTCTACGCGGGCACAATGGCTGCTCAAGAGGCACGCTGGCTCTCCTTTCTCCTCGCTGAGTTAGGCTACCCCCAGCAGTCGCCCACCCTGTGGTGTGACAACCAGAGTGCCATTCACCTCACCAAGGATCCTGTGTTCCACTCTCGCACCAAGCACATCGAAATTCGTCATTTCTTCATCCGAGATCTTGTTCAGAGTGACCAGCTGACGGTACGGTACATCGCCTCAGATTGCAACCTCGCCGACCTCTTTACCAAGGCTCTCGGCAAGGCTGACCACCATCGCCTTCTCCGTTCTGTGGGGCTATGTGCTCCTTGACCGGGTTTGCAGTCTATGGGGGTGTGTTAGAAATAGACTGCAAATACCACTTTTGTATTTGTACTTTTATATCCTAGTTTAGGTTCTGAATGTTCTAGTGGGTTGGGGTGTACTCACAAATCCCAACCTCACCCAATTGTGATCCCCATAATCTCCAATTACCCAATGGGGATTCCCTCCAATTCCCCCTTCATCCATTCTCTCTCACCTTGCCTTGTACTTATAGAGCCTTGGGCTCCTTACCTAATCAATAATTTCAACTCTATTTCTTACATTAAGTACCAACCGTTACGTGTACCACTCCATAGTTATTCCAAGGCCTAAAGTTAAATAACAAAGTTAATGGTAAGTGATATGGTTAATGTACCAAGTCTATGGTGAGTAGAAAGCCTAACGGTTAGTACTACGACTATGGTAATTATACCACAACATAGGTAAGTACCAAGCTTCATATCAAGTACAGACTCTATTGTTAATACAGAACGTTATGTTATGTACCACACTTCCAAGCCTATATCAAGTGGGTATATAGTAAAAACTAAGCCCACTGGTCCCTACTGGTTTTGGTAGATATGAAGCTTAAAATTGACTTCCATGCCTTACATTAAGTACTGGGTCTTATTAGCATACCCCTACTATGCACGGAGCTCAAGATTAAGTACCACATCAAGCTTCGACTCTATAGCAAGTACCAAGCATAAAGTGTACTGAGTTAAACTTTAAGTACCGAGTCTCTCGTAAAAATCAAGCATGAATATTCGTAGCGAGTCCATGGTATGTACCAAGCCCGAGGTTTAGTTGCCAAGTCTTACATTAAGCACTGTCTATGATAACTACCATCCCTAACATCGAGTACCATGTCTGTGGAAAGTATCAAGCCTGGCATTTAGTACCAAGACTATGGTAAGTACCATG